GAGGAGGAGGAGGAGGAGGAAGAGGAGGAGGAAGAGGAGGAGGAGGAGGAGGAGGAGGAAGAGGAGGAGGAGGAGGAGGGGGCCCCTCCCCGGGTTCCTCCTGGCTCGTCCTTCTTCCAGGGTCCAGCCGCGGCGCCCAGAAGCCCCCAGGACCCCCCAGGAGGGCCCCCCCCCGAAGGACGAGCTCTATTCGCAACCAATCTGAAATGATCCAATCTAGCTTTTTTATCCCACTTCTTCAAGTTGGCCGCGGAGACGTGGGTTTCCACGAAGCCGAAGAAGTCGAAGTGGCGATTCATGTCTGACTCTTACGAAACGCCAGCACTTGTCCCCCATGGCAGGGACGTTGGCGAAAAAGAAATTGCTGGTGCAATGCTGCGCACTACCCTCACTGTCTGGCTCTGGGCCGGGCGCGGCAGCCGCCGCCGCAGCCACCTGGGGTGCGGGTTCCTGCGGCGATGCCGCAGGCGCTCCCGTGGCGGTGGCTGCCTCAGCTAGTCAAGCTGACGCCCTCCCAGGCGGGCCTCCTGGCCCCTTGCCCGCTGGCGCTGCGTCGCCGCCCTTGCCCTTGCCGAAGGCTGTGCGCTGCGCCTCGAACTTGGCGATCAGCTTGTTCTTCACAGACTCGTCCTCGGATGCGGCGGGGGCGCCCGTCTTCTCCTCCACAGCGGCGGCGGCGGAAGCAGTCTCAGCAGCACTGTCTCCACCGCCAGGGGCGGCCACGCCACCCTCCCCCTTGCGCTTCTTGGCAAGGCGGTTCTCGACGTCCTCCTTCAGGGCGGCCGCCTCTGACAACTTAGCCTTGACCTCCTCACTCTTCGCAGCGAGCTGGTCTCTGAAGCCGATGAGCTCTGCCCTGAGCTTCCTCAAGGTCTCGCGCTCCTCCTGCTTCAGCTCTAGCTCCTCTGCATGCTCGAAGACCGTGTCGTCCCACGTGACCTGGAAATTGGGGGTCGTGGAATCCACCTGGGCCTTATCCTCGGTCTTTGGAGCAACACCTTCTACTTTGGCAAAAAAATGCAGATGCAACTTTCTTGGCCTCCTCGGCCTGCGCTAAAACCTCTGCTGCTTTGACCTCCTTCTCTTCCGCGTGCTGGAGAGCAGTACGAAGTTTGAGCACATTCTTGACACACTGGGTCTGCTTGTGATCTGCGTCCTTCCAAGCTCCAACTGCCTTGCGCACCGACTCGATCGCCATGCCTGAGTTTGCGTCGGACACCGCGGAGGGGGTCGACTGCAGGTGGCTGATCCTCTTCTGCAACATAACTCGGAGCTGCTCGTCGGTTGTGGTGGACACTAGCTGCTGGAGCGACGTGACCTCCTCCACTGCGCCTGGCTGGGGGGCTTGGGCACCGCCCGCGACCTGTGCCATGTTGGGGTCCTTCGTGCGAGGCTTCTACAAACGAACTTTGCGACCACATTTGGAACACTTGCAATCGTTGGACGACAAGACACTGTTCCACTCGAAGCGGCCGCAAGCCTTGCATTGACTCCAGGGGCTCTGGTCTGGCTGCGGGGACGGCGCCGTCGAAGAAACGCACATGGTTGCGACCCTTCTCTTTTGTCACCGCAAGTGGCGGCCAGGAAAGGAACTGGCGCGTGTGCGATGGACCTCAAGCGCCTCGTGACGGCAAAAGAGAGCGGCTCAGGCAAAATGCTTGAGCCCAAGTGGCTTGAGAGGAGGAGAAGGAGGAGGAGGAGGAGGAGGAGGAGGAGGAGGGAGGAGGAGGAGGTGGAGGTGGAGGAGGGGGGGAGGGGAGGAGGAGGAGGAGGAGGGAGGAGGAGGAGGAGGGAGGGGGGGTCGAGGAGGAGGGAGGAGGAGGAGGAGGAGGAGGAGGCGTGAGGAGGAGGAGGAGGGAGGAGGAGGAGGAGGAAGGAGGAGGAGTGATGGCGAGGAGGACGAGGGGGCCCCTTCCCGGGGGGATCCTCTGGCTCGTCTTCTTCGAGGGTCAGCGCGGCGCCAGAAAGCCCCCAGGAGTCCTCCCCCCCCAAATAAAAAGAGCACGCCTGGGAGGCCGCCGCTGCCTCGACCTGGCATCCTCCGACAGTCCCTCCCCCTCCTTCCTTTTTTTTTTCCTGCTCCTCCTGCTCTCCTCCTCTCCTCTCCTCCTCATCCTCCATCCTCCCTCTCCTCCGCCTCCTCCTCCTCCTCCCTTCTCTCCTCCTCCTCCTCCTCCTCCTCCCTCATCCTCCCTCCTCCTCCTCCTACTCCCCCCTCCCCATCATCCTCCTCCTCCTCTCCTCCTCCTCCTCCTCCTTCCTCCTCCTTCCTCCTCCTCCTCCTCCTCCTCCTCCTCCTCCTCCTCCTCCTCCCCCTCCTCGACTACAGAGCTGATGCACCCCAGGACTGCATCGTGCCTCGGATCTGCAAACAACAAATGGGATGCTCGTAGATCTGCGAGCTGCGGTGACGCATCGTCCGCACAGTCGACACGCGCGTCTCGGAATGATGCTCCGGCCCGTGCGTGGTGAGCTTTGGCGCAGTGCTTCGGCAGCAAATCATGGGAGCCTGGTATACCCTCTCAATTCCGTCTTTAGCGTCGACTAGCGTCGATTAGCGTCTGGGAGTCGATGATATAGCGCCGATGTAGCTTCGGTGAACGTCGATTAGCGTCGATCTAGCGTCGATTAGCGTCGATTCGCAAGAGCCGACAAGACGGTATGGGAGGCTCCCATGAGTTGCCACCGAACAGTGTCGACAGGGGCTGGATCATATTAGGTTAAGGATTTGCCAGGTTTTTTGGGGGGGCTTGTACTCGACTCCTTGGAGGCCTGTTCGACAGCGACGCCGAGGCGGGGCTCCTGGGGGGCGTCGTCGACTTCGGCCCCGCCCACCTCGTGGGAGCCGTGGACGAGGGCGGCGTCTCGGGCTACCAGGCCTGGAGGAGGGTCGAGAGGGGGTCGAGGAGGAGGACCGAGGATCGCAAGTGCCACGAGGCGCAGCAGGTGCCGATCTCATGTGTGATGCTGCTGGCCACGAGCGCCGCGGCAAGGAGCAGCAGCTGCTCTGGTGCTGGCCACGAGGGTTGCAGCTCCGGAAGAGGCCGGGTGACCTGCTCTCCGAGCCACCTGGCGCATCTGCGCACCTGCGCCGCCGGAGGCTGGGCACAGAACTGGAGCAGACCAAGGATCGAGGAGGGCCGAAGATCCAGGAGGAGGAGGAGGAGGAGGAGGAGGAGGAGGAGGAGGAGGAGGAGGAGGAGGAGGAGGTGGAGATGGAGGAGGGGAAGGGGGAGGAGGAGATGCAGGGGGAGGAGGAGATGCAGGAGGAGGAGGAGGAGGAGCAGGAGGAGGAGGAGAAGGAGGAGGAGGAGGAGGAGGAGGAGGAGAGGAGGAGGAGGAGGAGGAGGTCTGGGGAGGGGAGGAGGAGGAGGAGGAGGAGGAGGGAGGGAGGAGGAGGAGGAGGAGGAGAGGCGAGGAGAGGCGAGGAGAGTCGGGGATCCAGGATTTTAGGATCGAAGCCAGGCTGGCAACGCAGAAAAGCGGGTGCTGACATTCGCGCGTAAGTTGCCCGCGTATCAGGTCGTGCGTGAACGCTCTCGAGCGTGCCACGGTGGCGGCCCGCGTAAGCCGCGGCGTCAGGCCGCTATGTCGGCTCGCGTAGGACCAGCTGTTTTTCGTCGCTCAGGTCTTCTTTGCGGACGCGTGCGGGGAGACGCTCGGGGGCGCGCTGGCGTCCGTCTTGCCCAGCTTCCTGGGCCCGCCAGGCTGCTGCCCTACCGACTACTACCGCGCAGAGATCCCGGCGGCCACGCAGGCGCTCTTTCGCCGACCGCCGATCGCGGCCCGCCCCAGATCTCAGGCGATCCTGTTTTTTCGATCCGGGAGTGTTTCCTTGACTCGCCGAAGGAGAGAAATGCACAAGCATTAACTTCGGGATCTCCGAACGCTTCTGTTTCTGCAGCTTTTCGTTGCTCCTCTGCTCGCCGCAGCCTTGTGGCGGGGGGGGGGAGGGCGGCGACAGGCGGCGCCAACGCCCAGAGCTCGAGCGCCTCTGGTCGAAGAAAAAAAACGCCATAAACATAATTAAACTTGCTGCGCTCCGCGCGGATTTCCTGGATCCGCGCTGGGCCCCCCCGTGGCGCCTCTGGCGCCGCCCCTGGCGCGGCCCAGCGCGGATCCAAGAAGTCCGCGCGGAGCGCAAAGAGTTTATGTTTATGGTGTGTTCTCTTTTGCCATCTTTAAGTCAGACCAGTCCCTCTACAGGAGGAATATTCAAAAATAGTACTTAAGCAAAATAGGCTGGGGACGATTTTTCTAGCAATTTTGACCTTGTGGGGGCATGCTTGGACTATCTTTATTTTTTCCGCCCAAAATCCCCCCTGTATGGGGGACAGGCCCGACCTAATGCCACCTGGGCAGAGCAGAGGCGGAGGGCTGCCGCCGCTGTCGGCCTCGGGGAGGCCGCCCCCGGGCCCCGGGGGCAGGCGCAGAGCCCTCGGGGCGAGCCGCGGCCTCTCCCAGGGTTAAGTCGGGCCTGTCCCCCTACAGGGGGATGTTCGACGAAAAATACAAAATACCCAAGAAATAGTCAAACAAATAATAAGAAGATAGTCTGGAGGCTATGTTTTGCATTTGTTTTTGCCTTTTTGGGGCATTTTGGAGGTATCTTCTATCTTTCGTCGAAAATCCCCATGTAGGGGGATACGCCCGACATAATCCCAGGGCCCCCCCCCCCCCTCCCCAAGAGGGCCCCAAGAGGGCCAGAAGGCGTCCAGGAGCCTCCATCCTGCAGCCGAGGTCCTCGGCCCCTGGGAGGGCAAGGCCTGTCTGATTCCAGAGGCTCACACACACACACACACAAACGAACTATTCCTCTTCCTATATTTTTATACGCCGGGGGGGCAGGGAAACCTGTCCCCCCCCCACCCCCAAAAGCGGACCCTCCGGACTTGGAGCCTTTGGCGCCCCTGGACGCCCTTGGAAGAGGCCCCCCAGCCATGCCGCCTGGCCATGCCAGCAAGCTCAAAACGAGCAGAGAAGTGGTCGGAGAGGCGCAGGAGAGCCCCACGGCAGCGCAATACGGCATCAAGACGGCCTTCGAGGCCCCCAAGACGGCCCAAGAGGCCCCAAAGACGCCCCAAGAGGCCTGCAGGAGGGGCCCCAAGAGGCAAACATTGTCCCGTTCCAGAGGAAAACGTACAGACTCGCTTTTTGTGCCGTTGAAGCGTCCAAGACGGCCCGAGAAGCCTGCGAGATCGCCCCAAGGCGGCCCAAGAGGCCCCCGAGAGGGTTTCAAGCCAGGCCAAGAGGACCCCAAGACAGCCTCAAAACGATCCAAAAGAAGCTCACAAGGCCCCCGAAGCTCCCAAGAGAGACCCACGGGGGCCATGGGAGGTCCCAAGAGAGCCCCAGTTTTCCAGGAGAGCCCCACTGCAGCGCAACACGGTCTCCAGACGGCCCAGGAGACCACCAAGACGGCCCAAGAGGCCCCAAAGACACCCCACGAGGCGTTCAGGAGAGCCCCCGAGAGGCAAACATCGTCCCATTCCCCATGGAAAACGTACATTTTCAGCATATTCGCTTTTTGTGCCGTAGCAGCGTCCGAGACGGCTCAAGAAGCCTGTCAGATCGCCCCAAGAGACCTCCAAGAGGGCTTCGAGCTGGGCCAAGAGTACCCCAAGACTGCATTGACATCCTGTGGATACCACCACATCGCCCGCGTTACATAATTTACACAACGTAGTTTCCATCACGTAACTTACCGAAAAGCCTTCACCGCGTAGCTCACACCACATGGTTGCCACAACGTAGCCCACATCACATAGGTTTACCCGCAAAACTTTCACCGCCAGAGTTCCACATCTCACTGTTCGGGATCTGCGATGGCTCAGATGTTTGATGTTGGTTTTTCCCTACCTAGGCTCTGCCTAGAAGGGTTCTTACCCTGTGTCTTAAAGGGGCCGGGCAGTGCTAACCGCCCCGGGCGGTTCCCCCGGCATCCGCCCCGCGGTTCCCCCAGTGACGTTCCTTTAGCTTAGCGTTGCTTATCTCATCTTAGCCTAGCTTAACTTAGCTTAGCTTAGCTTAACTTAGCCTGGCCTAGCTTAGCTTAGCTGAGCTTAGCCTAGCCTAGCTTAGCTTAGCTTAGCATAGCTCAGCTTAGCTTAGCTTCGCGCAGCATTATCATAGCAGAGCGTAGCATAGCATAGCATGCCATACCATATAATAGCATATCATAGTACAGCGCAGCATAGCATCGCGCAGCATAGCATATCATAGCATAGCATAGCATATCATAGCATAGCATAGCATAGCATAGCACAGCATATCATAGCATAGCTTAGCATAGCACAGCGCAGCATACCATAACATAGCATAACTTAGCACAGCGCAACATCGCATAGCATATCATAGCATAGCGCAGCATAACATAGCATAGCATATCATAGCGCATCATAGCATATCATATCATAGCCTAGCATAGCATAGCATAGCGCAGCATCACATATCATAGCATAGCATAGCGCAGCATAGCATAGCATAGCATAGCATAGCATAGCATAGCATAGCATAGCATAGCATAGCATAGTTCAGGAGGGAAATAAACACACTGACACAATTAATCGTCGAGTCCTGGGATAATATTGGAAAATATGGGAATTGGGCGGGAAGACAAAAACCCAGAAAATATATGAACATATGGGGAATACGTTTATTTGTGTGTATTTATTTGTGTGTTCCAGGACCCCTTCAATAGCATAGCCTAGCATAACACAGCGCTGCCGAGCGTACCCTAGCATAGCATAGTATAGCATAGCGCAGCATAGCGCAGCATAACATGGCATAGCATTGCATAGCATAGCATAGCATGTTGCTTTCCTAGGTGCTCCAACTCCTAGGTAGGGTCGCACTGGGATGATCATGTCATCGGGAGCCGCTGGAAGCCGCCAGGCTTCTGCAACCCTTGGAGGTCTTGGTTTGACGTCCGTCGGCCTGCAGGAGCCGCTGCAACCCGAGAGGCCTTAGAAACAGATCCCGAGTTCAAATAAATACCCCCGGGAAACAATTTGTCCTCCACAGCGGTGGGTTTGCGTTGTGTCGGCGCGGCGGCGACGCCGGCGCGGGCGTTCGGAAGGAACACGGCCAGTGGTCAGGACTCGGCCAGCGTTGGATCCGTAACCATCTTGGCTCAAGGACATGGTTTGCTCAAGCGGGAAGCTTCCCACGGGGTCCGTGGAGGTGTTCAATCTGGCAGGGCGCGCAGAATGCTGCGCAAGCCCACCAGGGTTGGCGGTGGCTTCTGCGAGTGTCAGACAGCACGGACGAGCAACGCAATGGTTTGTGGCGTTGAGGTCCTTGCGAGCAGCGCCGCGGCCACACGGGCGGGTCGACGCGGCCCTCTGCCGATCAGCCATCCAGGCGTGCGCCAGGGCCAGGCAGTGGCAGTGGGTGCTGTCGTTGCTCGGCGAACTGTGGGAGGCGAAGTCGGAGGCCAACGTGGTCGCCTACAGCATTGGAATCAGCGCGTGCGAGAAGGGTGGCCAGTGGCAGCACGCACTGTCACTGCTCAGGAGACTGCTGAGGGCGAAGCTGGAGCCAGATGTCATCAGCTACAGTGCCGGAATCAGCGCGTGCGAGAAGCGCGGGCAGTGGCAGCGCGCGCTGTCGTTGCTCAGCGAGGTGGTGAAGGCGAGGCTGGAGGCAGATCTAATCAGCTACAACGCTGGGATCAGCGCGTGCGAGAAGGCTGGAAATTGGCAGCACGCGCTGCTGCTATTCGGCGAGCTGTTGCACGTGCAGCTGGAGCCAGACGTCGTCGGCTGCAACGCCGGGATGAGTGCGTGCGGAAAGAGTCGGCAGTGGCAGCACGCGCTGTCTCTGCTCAGGCAGATGGTCGAGGCGAACCTGGAGCCAGACCTGATCAGCTTCAGCGCCGGGATCAGCGCGTGCGAGAAGGGCGAGCAGTGGCAGCGGGCGCTGTCGCTGCTCCGCGAGCTGCACGAGGCGAAGCTGGAGGCTAATCTCATTAGCCACAACGCTGCAATCAGCGCGTGCGAGAAAGGCGGACAGTGGCAGCATGCCGCGTCGTTGCTCAGAGAACTGTGCGAGGTGAGATTAGAGCCCGACGTCATCTATAATACTACAATATTGGGCATTGCGTGTGCGAGAAGGGCGAGCGATGGTCACCCGTGGCGGCGCCCCGGGGGCCCCGCCCGTGGGGTGACGCCGTCTCGGCCCGGGACGGCCCATGAGGGCCCCGACGCGGAGGCCTCGAGAGTCTCCCAGAAGCTCCCCAGCGAGCCCGAGAGGGCCCCACGACGGGCTCGGAGGACCCCCGCGAGCTTCCACGGAGTTCCCAGGAGACCCCCACGAGAGCCCCGAGGCCGCAACACAATCGTTGTTCTCGAGGGTTTTCGACGCTTCCGGTGGTGCTCCTCCCGCCCGCCCCAAGACGCCCACCACGGCACCGCGGGCGTCCGAAATCGGGCCCGTGCTGCCCGGGGAGCCTCCAAGAGAGTCCCCAAGACGGCCCCAGGAGGAGGAGGAGGAGGAGGAGGAGGAGGAGGAGGAGGAGGAGGAGGAGGAGGCGGAGGCGGAGGAGGAGGAGAGGCCCCCGATCGAGCTCCCGAGGCCCCCAAGACGGCCCAGGAACCCCAGACGGCCCCAAGGGACGCCCAAGAGGGTCCAGTTCGGCGCGCTTCCTCCCCCTCCGGGCCCCTCCACGGCCAGCAGAGCTCCGAGACGCCCCCGAGAGGCCCCCAGAAGGCCCTGGAGGCGCTCCCAAGAGGCCCCCGGGCGCTCTCCAGAGGCTCCCGGAAGGCTCCAGAGGCGCTCCCAAGAGCTTTCCAGAGGCTCCCAGAGGCTCTCCAGAGGCTCCCACAAGGCCCCACGAGAACCTCCTCCGGGTATCGGAGGGCCCCCCCGCCGCTTCCCCCATGCATCCGCTGGGAACAGCCTGCTACAGCACGCGGCACTCCAGGACCTCTCAGGCATGACCGCCCCTCCCCCCTCCGCCTCCACCCCAAGAGCGTGGCCCCTTCGCGGGTTTCTCAGGGCTTCTCGGGACACGTCGGCCCATCCACCCTTGCGCAGCCAGCGTGCCCCGGGCCTTCCTGCTCCGGAGCATCGCCCCTCATTGGAAAAAACCACACCCGACACCTCTTGGGACACGCATCGCCTGGGAGGGGATGCAAAAAAGCCCTGCTTGGACCACCCGCAGACGTCCCAGGCCCCCTTTCCGTGGACCCCTCCCGCACGGAGCGTGTCCCAAGAGGTGTGGGGTATGGTTTTCTACATGCCAAACGCGCGCTCCCCCTCGCCTTCCTCCTCCCTGCCCCTTGCTCGCGCCCCCCCTGTTCCTGCGGCTGCTGTTGCTGCCCCTGCTGCTGCTGCTGCTGCTGCTGCTGCTGCTGCTGCTGCTGCTGCTGCCGTTGCTCTCTGTCCGCCTCGTGCTGCTCCGCCTGCTGGACCCCGCCGCCCCTCCATCCCTGCTTCCCCCTGCCTCTCTATCCCCTGACGACGACGACAGCGGCGACGACGCCAACGACGACGACGACGACCACGACGACGACGACGACGACGACGACGACGACGACGACGACGACGACGACGACGACCACGACGGCGACGACGAGGACGACGACGAGGACGACGACGACAACGACGACGAGGACGAGGACGAGGACGAGGACGAGGACGAGGACGAGGAGGACGAGGACGAGAAGGCCCACTGAGGTCCGCGTTGCTTCTGTTGTTGCTGGAGCTGCTGCTGCAGCTGTTGCTGCTGCTACTGCCGATGGTGCTGGATCTGCTGCTGCTGCTGCTGCTGCTGCTGCTGCTGCTGCTGCTGCCGTTGCTCTCTGTCCGCCTCGTGCTGCTCCGCCTGCTGGACCCCGCCGCCCCTCCATCCCTGCTTCCCCCTGCCTCTCTATCCCCTGACGACGACGACAGCGGCGACGACGCCAACGACGACGACGACGACCACGACGACGACGACGACGACGACGACGACGACGACGACGACGACGACGACGACCACGACGGCGACGACGAGGACGACGACGAGGACGACGACGACAACGACGACGAGGACGAGGACGAGGACGAGGACGAGGACGAGGACGAGGAGGACGAGGACGAGAAGGCCCACTGAGGTCCGCGTTGCTTCTGTTGTTGCTGGAGCTGCTGCTGCAGCTGTTGCTGCTGCTACTGCCGATGGTGCTGGATCTGCTGCTGCTGCTGCTGCTGCTGCTGCTGCTGCTGCTAGCGCTGCTCCAGACGCCGTCAGGATCATCAAGCAAACAGCGCACCCTGAAGCAACAAGCAGCAGCGAGCGCACGCTCAATCCTCTGGCATTCGTGGACGGTAGTCCACGGGTCAGCCCTAGTCAGCTACAACGCCGGGATCAGCGCGTGCGAGAAGGGCGGACAGTGGCGCCAGGCATTGTCGCTGCTCTGCCAGATGGCGAACATAGAGTTGGAAAGGGACGTCGTCAGCTACAACGCTGGGATCAGCGCTTGCGAGAAAAGTGAGCAGTGGCAGCAGGCGTTGGCGATGTTTTGTGAACTCGGGAAAGTGAAGCTGGTGCCTGATGTCATCAGCTACAACGCGGGCATCAGCGCGTGCGCAAAAGGCGAGCAGTGGCAGCATGCTTTGTTGTTGTTCGGCGAAGTGTGGGAGGCCGAGTTGGAGCCAGACGCATTCAGTTACAGTACTGGAATCAGCGCGTGTGAGAAAGGCGGGCAGTGGCAGCAGGCATTGTTATTGCTCGGTGAGATGTCCGAGATAAGTTGGGCGCCCAACGTTGTCAGTTACAACGCTGGAATCAGCGCTTGCGGAAAATGCGGGCTCTGGCAACAAGCATTGTGTTTGCTTCGCGGGTTAAGAGAAGTGAGGGCTGAACCCAGCGTCGTCTCCTACAGCGCTGGAATCAGCGCGTGCGAGAGAGTCGGGGAGTGGCAGCACGCGGTATTATTATTGAGCGAAATAGCGGAGGCGGAATTGCAGCCAAATGTTTTCTGCTACAGTGCGAGCGTCAGCGCGTGCGGTCAAGGTAAGCAGTGGCAGAAGGCCTTGTCATTGTTCGGCCAGATGTGGGAGGCAAGGATGGGTCCCAATCTGTTCTGCTACAGCGCCGGAATCAGAGCATGCGAGCCCGACGGGTTGTGGCAGCAGGCATTATCGCTACTCGGGGAACTATCTGTGGCGACGCTGGATCCGGATGCCACCTGCTACGGCGACGGGATCAGCGCGTGCAAGACAGGCGGGCAGTGGCGCCAGGCGTTGCGGCTGCTCTGCGAGATGTTGGAGGCGAGGCTGGAGCCCGTCCTCATAAACTACAACGCTGGCATCAGCGCGTGCAGCAGCGCTGGAGAGTGGCAGCAGGCTCTGGTGTTGCTCAGCATCTTGCGGGAGGAAAGGCTACAGCCAGACGCGCTGAGCTACAGTGCCGGCGTCCGCGCGTGCGAGAGAGGCGGTCAGTGGTACCGAGCGTTGCTGCTGCTCTCGACCGTGGTGTGGGGGGGAGTGGCAATTGGAAATCTTCAGCAGCAGCAGCAGCGCTGGAGCCAGCGCGCGCTGGAACGGCATCGAGCTGCCGAATGCGATGGCGCTGTTCAGCGAGCGCCGCCAGCCCGTTGCCGATCGCATGGCGCGCTGCGGCGGCACTGGCCCCGACAAGCCGGGGCGAGGCGGCCCCGCCCGGCGGCCGGAGAGCTGGCGCTCTCGGAGAGGCCCGGAGGCGGCGGGCATGATAACAGTTAGCCTAGCGAAGGAGGAGGGGGAGGAGGAGGAAGAGGAGGAGAGGAGAGGAGAGGAGAGGAGGAGAGGAGAGGAGAGGAGGAGAGGAGAGGAGAGGAGAGGCGAGGCGAGGAGAGAGAGGGAGAGGAGAGGAGACGGGGAGCGGGGCGCTGTCTCTTCAAAACGAGGACCCAGCGCCACATGTTGGGTGGGAATTGGCATAGCGAAGGACCCAACCATATGCAGTTGTGAGCACCGTCGTTGTATGCAGCGCATTCGGAGGAGCTCCCTATGGGGCACGAAGCGTGGGAGGGGTGTGCTAAGAATTGTGCGGTGGGCGCATGCGAAAGCAGCCACTGGGGCCGTCGGTGGAATCCCCATATGGGGCCACGAAGCGTGTGAGAGGTGTGCCGAAATAGGTGCGGTGGACGCATGCGAACGTGGCCTCTGGGGCTCTCGGTGGAGTAGCATCAGTCCTGGCTGTCGCTGCGGGACTGGGGTGACCGTCGGATCCAAGATTTCGTCGTCGATTTTTGTTGGCGGGCATAGTTCAACCCTTTAGGGCAGCCCAGCGTTGTCAAATTTTGCGCGGCGGTTGCAGTGGGCGCACCGTCGAACCCCTCAGGACGGGACTCTGTTGTGGGTCGTGGCCCCCTGAACGGGCAGGTGGGCCTCCCCTTGCCTCTCTCGTGGCCCGCGGTGCCTTCGGGAGTTTTGGTGCGAATTGCTTGATTTGAGTTTCGCAGTTGCGGAGTGTGTTTCGAGTTTCCTTGGCCTCTGTGACGAGCGAAACCGCGTAAACCAGTGTAAGCTTTGAGATCCGAGCCAGAGTCGCATTGAGTAAAGGCATACATTAGTATTCCTATTCGCGCGATGTCCATTAGAGCACACAGAAGGACGTTAGAAAGGAATGTGTTTGAAACCATAAATATTCGCGCGCGTTGAAACTAAGCAGCGTGGATATGAACGCGAGCTTTTAGCTTCCATATTTTTCGAAAAACTATGTTTGAGTGAACTGCCCCTGCGTCGCACATGCAGGTTTATGTTTTCAGACAAAACACTCTCTTCCCCCGTCTACGCCTTGTCGATGAAAACCTTTAAGTGTGCTCGTTGTTTTAAATGTGCTGCCAACATATACAGTGCGGTTAGTCTATCAAGATTTGGCCGCTGTCATAACTTCCTAGGTGGAGGGTTACCAATTTAGCCGAGATGCCGTTGATATTTTCAGGGGGTGGTTGTCCTTGAAGATTGGTTTATGTTGTCGTTGTTTTTCCTGCGAAATCGGTTCCACAAGTGCGTGCCGGGAGTGATGGAGTAGCCACCATGCGGACTGCGCCAATGGGACCTTGGGTGGAGCTCCATTTGGGGCCACGAAACGTGTGACGGGTGTGCCGAAATGGGGCGGCGCCGCCATGCGGACGGCGCCACTGGGACCTTAGGTGGGGCCACGAAACGTTTGAGGGGTGCGCCGAAATGGGGCGGCGTCGCCATGCGGCGAACGGCGCCACTGGGACCTTGGATGACCTTGGGTGGAGCTCCCTATGGGGCCACGAAACGTGTGAGGGGTGTGCCGAAATGGGGCGGCGTCGCCATGCGGACTGCGCCACTGGGACCTTAGGTGGAGCTCCCTATGGGGCCACGAAACGTGTGAGGGGCGTGCCAAGATGGGGAGGCGCCGCCATGCGGACTGCGCCACTGGGACTTTAGGTGGAGCTCCCTATGGGGCCACGACACGCGTGAGGGGTGTGCCCAAATCTGGCGGCGCCGCCATATGGACTGCGCCACTGGGACCTGAGGTGGAGCTCCCTATGGGGCCACGAAACGTGTGATGGGTGTGACGAAATAGGGCGGCGCCGCCATGCGGACTGCGCCACTGTGACTTTAGGTGGAGCTCCCTATGGGGCCACGAAACGTGCGAGGGGTGTGCCAAGATGGGGCGGCGCCGCCATGCGGACTGCGCCACTGGGACTTTAGGTGGAGCTCCCTATGGGGCCACGAAACGCGTGAGGGGTGTGCCTAAATCTGCCGGCGCCGCCATGCGGACTGCGCCACTGGGACCTTGTGTGGAGCTCCCTATGGGGCCACGAAACGTGTGATGGGTGTGACGAAGACGAGGACGATGATGGTGATGATGGCGATGATGGTGATGATGACGGCCATGATGATGATGGTGGTGGTGATGGTGATGATGATGGTGAGAATGATGATAAAGATGACGATGGCGATGACGATGATGATGATGATGATGATGATGATGATGATGATGCTGATGATGATGATGATGACGATGATGATGATGATGCTGCTGCTGATGATGATGATGATTATGATGGTGATGCTGATGCTGATGATGGTGATGGTGATGACGGCCATGAGGTTGATGATGATGACGATGATGATGCTGATGATGATAATGACGACGATCACGATGACGATGACGATGGTGATAATGATGATGATGATGATGATGGGAGGAGGGAGGGAGGAGGGGGAGGAAGAGAGGCGGAGGAGGAGGGACGCGCGGTGCTGTCTCGTCAAAACGAGGACCCAACACCACAGGATGGTTAGGAAAAAAGGACTCGGCCGGCTTTGAACGTGAATGCGCGATCGTTCACAGCTGAACCCAAGCGGTGTAAAACATCGACTCGCAGGCCGTTGCGACACCAGTTGGCGCAGGATCGCTCGAAGAAGGCACTCGATTTTGGTTCGACGTTCTTTCGGAATTTCCAGGTGGCGTTCTCGCGCCACGTGATCGGGCCCACCTCGAAACTCCAATAAAAGCGCACCTCAAGAAAAGTTCGGGTGACGCACGGATCCGCGGAGCGAGGGCAAGAGCAAACAAGAACGGGTGAGGGGACTGGACGGGAAACGTCAGAAGTTTGAAGGCCAAAGAGGAAGGCGCCAAGTGCTAACATATGTAAGGCTTGAGGAACCAAGGTGCATGGCGCGAACCGCTAATGCAGTCTTGTATGTTCCACATTTAGACATATAGAGATAGATCGATAGATGTGTATGCTCACGCACCCCCTGTGGTCCACCTTATCGCTTCTGTATTGCCCCACTGACTATGTGGCCGTCTGTAAGCTATTTCCCACACTTGCTTTTCACGCGCACAGTTCAACTTGCGCTTGCAGCGCCTCAAAGTACCTATGCGGCTAAATATCAGTACAGAGCCCGCAGCATCTCACCCGTGCGCACCCACAGGCCCTGGCCTTTCTCCCAGCACGTCCACTGAGCAGAACGAACACGTCTCCACATGGATATGTTGTTGACCTTGTGCGTGCGCCTGCCCATGTGCGCCTTTCAAGTGGGACCAGAAGCGGTCGATGATCTGCGTGCCTGTTTTGACGAAGAGGTTCTGCCCGTCAGAAAGGATGTGCTTCTTTATCTGCGAGTATTTGGGGTTCACCCATACTGTTTTTCCTTTAGTGACGGTCTTCTTCTTGCAATGCACGGCTTTGTCGTGGATGACCCCAGGAAGTCGCATTTTATATGTGCGGGCTCCATCGGTATGCAACACCACGTTGGTATTATCCAAATGCTTCCTGGCGGTTGGCTTCGCACCCCCCACGACGTGGAGTTGACAAAATTGCGTGCGCATCGGCGTTTTCATAATATCACAGAGTACGCCCTCATGCAATCTTTGTCGCGCCCCAAGCATCCCAACGACTTGTGGCCACATGGCCAACGACCCAAGCACCCCAGCGACTTGTCGCTCACCACCAGCAAGAGTAGCACTAGGACCAGCAACAACAGCACCACCAGCAGCAGCACCGCTAAGGGCGCAATGTCA